ATAATGTCTGTGTAATGCAGCGTATTCCTGGCACATAGCAGCTGTCCTATAAGCAGAAATAGTTATGAAAACCCTTTTAGGGCTGGCCAAATAGCTCAGCAGATTAAAGCACCTGTAAGCAAGTGCAGGGGCCCGGGGTTCGATCCCCAGACCTGCCATGCCAGCCCTGCGCACTGAGATGGCAATTGAGACTGGGTGTGGTGGCATGTACCTGGGCGTGGTGGCGTGCACCTGTATTCCCAGTTCTTGGGAGTCTGTAAACAGAAGAATCACTAGGAGTCCGATCTAGTAGTGAGACTCTGAACACCCTGTAGACCATTCCCTAAAATTAAAAAAAAAAAAATCCTTTTAGTGGTATCTGGTATTTGTTCGTTTATTTGTTACAGGGTCTCAGTAGGCAGTTCAGATTCATAGTGAGCCTCCTGTTGCAGCCTCCCAGCATCAGGATTACAGGTATGTGTCACCATGCCTGCTTTGGAGCCAGCAGTGTGTCCGGGGTTCTCGGGCTGGCTCAGCATGCAGTGCTGGGGTTAGAACTTGGGTCCTTGTGCTTGCCAGGCAGGCGCGTAGACCACTGAGCTATCTCTCTAGCCCCTAGTGGCATCTGTTTATAGTTAGTTCTTTATAGGAAAATATCACAGAACTCTTTTTTTCTGTATTCTTAGTGACCAGTAAATTCAACAAGCACTTGTGTTCTAAGAAAGTTTTCAACTTCCCTGGAGAAAACTTTAAAGAAAGAAATGATTAGAGAGTTTGTTTGTAAAAAAAAAAAATACTAATTAAAATCGCAAGTGCATAACTATTAGACAAAAGATATTGGAACAGAAATAAGATCAACTTTGTATTTGTTCCTAAAAGAAAAAAAAAGATGTAATTTCTTTCTTTTCTTTTTTAAATGTATTTAGTACAGGTTCTACAGGGTTCCACTACACAAATCGGACTCATAGTGATCCTCCCATTTTCAGCCTCCCAAGTGCTGGGGTGACAGGCATACACCACCATGCCCACTCTAACGTAATTTATTTCTAAAAGTACTCTGTTGTGTCAGGCGTGGTGGCACACCCCTGTCATCCCAGCACTTTGGGAGGCTGAGGCAGGAGGATCGCTGTGAGTTCAAGACCAGCCTGGGCTACATAGTGAGTTGAAGACCAGATGGTACTACATAGTGAGACCTTGGTTCAAAAAGCAAACAAACCAACAACATTTCTGTTATTATTTCATTTTGGCAAACAAGAAACTACTGTATGAGAAAAATATGAACACCCTGGAAATTTATAGCTAGAGAGAAGTTTTAAAAGTTAACTTATTTTTGTCTTCTAAGCAAAATCTATTCAAGATTTAGAAAAACAATACAAATGTCTCTTAAGAATAACAAAAACTCCTTATAACCTATCCTACACATGGTAACCACTTTTACCTATGAATCTGAGCCCCCGTTTCTGGCTTATGCTCTGCCAACTGCAGAAAATTCAGACAAAAGAGGCAACAGAGAAGTGTGGTACATCTTACACAGAGACACACAGCCTTAACAAACACTGCCACGAGACCCTGCCTGATTATTTAAAATA